AATATATATATATATATATATATATATATATATATATATATGTGTATATATAAATGTAATTCATTCCTATGATTCAAAGCTAAATTGTCAGCAGCCATTACTGCAGTCTTTAGTGTCACATTATCCTGAAGAAATCACCTATTATGATGATTTGATGTTTAAGAAATTATTATCAATATATTCTTCTTGTTATTTTTATGCTGCTTAATATTTTTGTGGAAAGAGTGATATATTTTTTCAGGAATCCTTATGAATAGAAAGTTCAAAAGAACAGCATTTATTTTAAATGGAAAAGTCTTTACTGTCACTTTTGATCGACTTAATGCTAAATATGAGTATTAATTTCTGTGAACTGTTAACACACAGGTCAAGCTTTTAGTTTAGTAGCTGTAGCCAAAAAAAAAAAGGGGGGGGGGGAAAGGGAGAAGGATTTACTGTCATTGACTTTTATTCTGTTTGGCCATATCCCCGAAAACCTTTTATTGAATAAATCAATCAGGCCCGTTGAAATCTGATTTCTGGCAATGTATTTGGGGTTACATTGTTACATTGTTGTTAAAGCTGAATATACATGTATTATAATAGAGTTCAGTTATTTATTTTTATATATTTAAAGTGGACTGAATCAAAAGATTCAAAAGTAGGAATGGACCAGATAAGATGAGAGGTGAAGGAAGCCCAACTCTTTGTGTCTGAGAAAAGCAATGGAAGGAAACAGAGAAGAGTTTACATTTGGATCCATGTCTGCTGAGTTTATAATTACTATACAGATTTGAAGAGTATAATTAGGCCACCCAAGAGGAGAAGATTTAAAAATGAGAGAAACTGAACAGGGCTCTTAAAGGGGTCATATGATGCGATTTCAGTTTTTCCTTTCTCTTTGGAGTGTTACAAGCTCCTGGTGCATAAATGTGCCTGTGACACTACACAAGCCTCCACTTTGTTCACTCACCAAATAAGGGCATAAGCAGTGAGTCCTCTCTCCAGGCCCATACAAGCAGCCATGAGGACCAGGGCAGGCAGCAGAGTCCTGCCTCCATCTCTGGCAGCTGTCAGCTCTGATGTAGCTCTGATCGAAGATCAGTCATTCTTATACTTGCAGTAAAGGGAACCTTAAACTAATGCTTAACCCTCTTAAGCTAGAAAAAAATGGCCACACATTGGCTGTTCATGGTCATTTTTGAATCTTAAACAGCCAGGATGTGACTTTTTATGACCACTTAGACTCTTTTAAATGAGGTACTTGTTTGTATGTGTGTCGTTGTTGTTCAAATTGCATATCTAAAAAAAAAAGTAAACAACTTAGATTGAGGGAGCAATAAATCAACAAATGTGAAATTGATCCAAAATGATCAGAAGACCAAAAAGGTTGGTCCAAGAAATTGGTCCAAAATGACCACCCTAGAAGTAATAGTTAACCACCCTTATGTTGTCCAAAATATGTATAATTTTCTTTCTCACATTCTAAACCAATTATAGGCCTATAACAAGTATGCAAGTTACTATGGAATAAAAAAAAATAAGTAAATAAATACATAAACAACTGTTTGTCTATATTAGTATTTTTATTTGTTTATTTATTTATTTTGTCTTTCATTTTGCACTAGTGTATGCATATTCCTAGATAGATAGATAGATAGATAGATAGATAGATAGATAGATAGATAGATGACAACTTTTTGTTGGGTGGAAAAGAGCAGCTTGGACATTCTGGACATTTTCTTTGTACAATCTCTTCATTTAAACTGGGAAAAAATGTGTAAACAAGGCTTGGCATGCTGACATTAATGTATCATTCTGATATCAAATTGAGGTGGTTAAGATTGGTGATGTGATAAGACAGATTAAGATGTAAATGGAGAGAAAGTGGCACAGAAATGTAGTGAGTAAAATGATAATTTAGTGGAGCAGAGGAGAGGCAGATGAGATGAACAGACAGATAGAGAGGGAAGAGCATTATGAAAAAGAAAAGAGAGAGAGAAAGATATAAAGAGAGAGAGATAGCCCTCACTCTGGAGGAGTGGTCTTCCGTCTGCTCTAAAGGATTTCGAGCTGAATTCACCATCACACTCGAGACACACACGCACACACACCTGCTGTGGATATGCCGTTCTCTGTTGTGCTGGATGGACACGCACCGTGGGGCTTTCGACTTATTGGAGGACGGGACTTCAGCCAACCCCTCACCGTCGCCAAAGTGAGTGTGTGTGTGTGTGTGTGTGTGTGTGTGTGTGTGTGTGTGTGTGTGTAGATTTACCAGATTAGGATTTAATTCAGTTGTAATTCACTGAAAAACAAAAGTGCAATGTGTGTTGTAATGTCCACAAGTGCATCTGACTCATTTATAGAAATAGCATCTTACATCACCAATATAGATATAAAAAATACACTTAATCAGACAGCAGACAGTTGAATCACTGATCTGTTTTAGGAAGTGCGTTCATATGGCCTATATGAATTATTTTTCTCATTGATTGTGTATTTATGTAGATAAGTTATACAAATATAAAAAATGTAAATAAATGTAAAAATATATTTCCTTTAGAAAAGGAAAACAATATGATAATTTATATAACAACAACAACAACAACAATAATAATAATAATAATAATAATAATAATTATTATTATTATTATTATTATTATTATTGTTGTTGTTGTTGTTGTTGTTGTTGTTGTTGTTGTTGTTGTCATCATCATTATATGGACATATATCTATATAAATATAAAAATAAAGGACATTTCACAGTGCCTCACAATAAATAATACTGATAAAGAATTAATAAAACCTATAAAACACAAACAGGGTATGTAAAAGAAAAGAAACAAGACAATCTGATAGCAAAACTGTATACAACAAAATCTGGCATGAATTGAGGATTGCAGTTTGTCGTCCCTTTTAAAGAGAATGTTTTATGGAGGAGAACAATGGCTATCCTCATGCTCTATTTATGTGTGTAGCTAAAATTGTTGATGAATCATTGACACTGGAACTAACATTGGATCCTCACACCTGTTGTGGCAGTGGAGTTGTGTATTCTACGTCTAAACAAATGTCAGAGAGAGTTCAAAAGAGAGAGAAAGAGAGATAGGAGCACAGTCTGATTCAAACAGCTCTGTTGTTGTTGTTTTTTGGAGGAATATCCTGGTTGTTCTTATCCAGACTGAGGCTGAGGCTTTTGCCAAGCAGTCATAGAATAAGCCTTTCAAAAAAGCTTCTTAAAACTCACATGATGTAATGAAAACTGAATCTTCACACAATGATCTAGATGCATTCAAAAAAAAAAAGAAAAAAAAAGGATTGTTTAAATAACTTTTACTGGGTTAAACGGGTTACAACCTATTACATGATAAAAAATCTAGTATTGAAATACACAATGAAGTTATTGTGCTGATCTGTTTGTACAGAGGTTTTATACCTCTGTTCTTTGTGCAGCTCTAGTTTGAGATTTCTACTTTGCTTTAATGACAGCCATTTTTGGTCAAACACCCTCCTGTCCTCTGTCTCTGGGCCTTGGGAGGTGTTTTTACTTACAGCTAGGACTGTAACCTGGACTTTATTAATCAAAGTGTTTGGAAAACAGTCCTGTTTTACCAGCAGCAGGTTGTTGGACTGTACTCAAAATTTAAGAATGGGATTTGTTGGCCTCAGAAATGACAATAAACAGTGTGGAACTGCTTCAGGAGATGGAAAATTGGTTTTAATAAAAAATTGAGGTCATTTTTTCTATATCTGTTTAGTTCAAGTTGATTCTAGAAACTGAGAGTCAACTTATCAAGTTTAAAACTGGATTTTACAGAACTGGATGATATAAAAGTGCATGAACATTACAAAATGTTTGATTTATGCTTAAAACAGGCTTGATATATTATGCAATTGTACTTCTGAACAAGATTGATCTTGTTTTAAGGATGCTGAGATATTTAACTAGAAATCAGACAAAAATACTGAATCAAAATCTTTGTTTGCATTGTGAAAATCATCTTGATTGTGTCTGTTCTGCTCTGTTAGTGGAGCAAATGCCTTCTAGTGGACTATATTTGAGTTCTGAGCATATAAAGTATTAAAGTACTCATGCATTTAAAAATCAAATTAAAAAGAAAGCTGCTCTGCAGTACTAAAAGTACATCTGGGATGAATGGATAAGAAACATATTGAGGTTCTTGATCTTTCTTTGTGCTTGCTGATAAAGAGCTTATTTACTGTAGGAGTCAGGATCTGATCCATTTCCAAACCAGTGCAGTTCCACAGACAACCCCACTGCACCCAGAATGCCTTATGATATATGAACGATATGATGGATGCACATTTACATTTTGTACTTATAGAATTATACATGCCATTCTGCTCATGTAATGCAAGTCAAATAATGCAGTGCATGTGCAGTTTCATATAATTCTTCTCCAGCGCTTCGTTCTGAGCGCTGATAATGGACTGCAGAGCCTCTCTGGAGACTGTTATTTTCCCCAGCATGTATACTTTGGAGAGTAGTTTACATGGGTGCACATACCAATGACAAGGACACACAGACACACACACACACACAGAGAGAGAGAGAGAGAGAGAGAGAGAGAGAGAGAGAGAGAGAGAGAGAGAGAGACACA